CGATCCGTCTCGCTTCGCCGGAGAGATTCTCCGGAGACTCTGGAAACTGTCGTCCCTTCCTGGTACAGTGCGGTCTCCACTTCAAACACCAGCCCGCAGCATTTCCCACCGATCAAGCTAAAGTAGCTTTTATTGTCTCTCATCTGACGGGTAGAGCGGAAGCCTGGGCAACAGCGGAGTGGTCCCGGTGCTCGCCTGTTTGTCAGTCATTGGAACTGTTCTTGGATACCATGAGCAAGATCTTTGATCAGATATCACCCCGGGAGAGAGTCAGCGAGAGCCCTGGTGAACATTAAACAGCGGCAGAGGAGAGTGGCGGATTACGCAATTGATTTCCGTACTCTGGCAGCGGAGAGTGGGTGGAACTCGGCGGCTCTCTTTGATGCTTTCCTACATGGGTTAGCGGATCCCATAAAGGATCAGTTAGCTCCATTACAGCTGCCTGAAGATTTGGACTCGCTCATCGCCATGGCTATCCGGGTTGATCAACGTCTAGCTGATAGACAGCGGGAAAAGGGAAGGAATGCAGTATCCACTCCACCTTTCAGACGGGAGTTACCGAGGGAATACTACACTTGGCAGAGGAATTCCCAGACTTCATCTCCAGAACGACCAGCGCCTCCTATCGCCGCGGAGAAACAGATGCAGCTCGGAAGAGCCAAACTCACGCCGGAGGAGCGTCAGCGCCGTCTACGGGAGCGGCGGTGCTTCTACTGCGGCCAGCAGGGTCATGTTTCGGCAGCCTGTTCGGCAAAAGATCAGGCTCATCAGCAGGAAGGAAGACGCTGGTGAGCCGAGTGACTTCCTTCGACTCTCCAGTCAGAAAATTAATGCAGGTACGAATCAAGCTTGGGGATAAGACTGTGACTCAGGATGCATTAGTCGATTCTGGGGCTGATGAGAGTTTGTTAGACTGGGAGCTGGCTAAGAGTTTGAATTTAAAGGTTGTACTTTTAGATCAGCCCTTAGAGGCTAGTGCTTTGGACGGCCGCCTTTTATGTACAGTTACTCATCGCACTGAGCCCATGGTATTAGTCGTAGATCAGGAACATCGAGAGCAAATTAGTTTTCACTTATTTAACTCTGCTCAACATCCTCTCATTTTGGGGTACCCATGGCTTGTTAAACACAACCCTCACGTTGACTGGCAGACAGGAAAGGTGAAAGGGTGGGGGGTTGAGTGCTCTCGTTCATGTTTAACCAGTGAAACAGGGTTGAGTAGCAGACCTAGTAACTTTAAGCAGGGGTCAGGTAATAGCAGTGACATTTGTTCTAAACCTTCTGACTTTCCTGACTTGTCTAAAGTTCCTGGTTGCTATTCAGACATTAAGGAGGTGTTTAACAAAACACGAGCTACTTCATTGCCTCCCCATAGACCGTACGATTGTCCCATAGAACTTCTGTCGGGCTCTACTATTCCCAAGGGACGGCTGTACTCTCTTTCTGGGCCAGAAAGGGAGGCCATGAAGGCATATATCGATTCTTCACTCAAGACTGGGTTGATTCGGACATCTTCATCCCCAGCAGCGGCAGGTTTCTTTTTTGTGGGAAAAAAGGACGGGACATTGAGGCCCTGTATTGATTATAGTCCGCTAAATCAGATCACGGTCAAGAACAGATATCCCCTTCCACTCATCTCTACGGCATTTGAACTATTACAGGGAGCTAAGATATTTACCAAGCTTGACCTAAGGAATGCTTATCACCTTGTGCGCATCCGGGAGGGGGATGAGTGGAAAACAGGTTTCAATACACCTACGGGACATTACGAATATTTGGTGATGCCTTTTGGACTTTGTAATGCACCTGCTGTTTTCCAAGCTCTCATTAACGATGTGTTAAGAGATTTCCTGAATGTTTTCTGTTTTGTGTACCTCGATGATATTCTCATCTTTTCTCCAGATGAGAATACTCATGTTAACCATGTTCATCTTGTTCTTCAAAGACTCCTGGCTAATCATTTGTTTGTGAAAGCCGAAAAATGTGAGTTTCATGTCAACTCAGTATCATTTTTGGGCTTTGTGATTTCCCCTAACAAGATGGAAATGGACCCAGCAAAGGTCAGTGATGTGGCAAATTGGCCTACGCCAAACTCCAGAAAGAAAGTTCAGCAATTCTTGGGGTTTGCTAACTTTTACAGACGTTTCATACGCAATTTCAGTGCTATTGCCTCTCCTCTCCATTCCCTTACCTCTCCCCATGTTCAGTTTGTGTGGAATCCACAGGCAGAGAAATCCTTCATGGATCTGAAGAGGAGGTTCACCACAGCTCCTATCCTGACTGTACCTGATCGCAACCGACAGTTTGTGGTGGAAGTAGACGCCTCTAACGATGGCGTTGGAGCTATACTGTCTCAGATGTCAGCGGGGGACAATAAACTTCATCCGTGTGCCTATCTCTCCCGTAAGCTATCTTCTGCTGAGAGGAATTACGACGTGGGAAATCGGGAACTCTTGGCTGTGAAGATTGCTTTGGAGGAGTGGCGGCACTGGTTGGAGGGAGCGGAGCAGGATTTCCTGGTATGGACAGATCATAAGAACTTGCAGTACATCAGGAGGGTAAAGCGCTTGAACTCCAGACAAGCCAGGTGGGCTTTATTCTTTAACAGATTTAGCTTCACTCTGTCTTATCGACCTGGTTCTAAGAACGGGAAACCGGACGCTCTCTCCAGAGTTTTTGATCCGGAGCCAGTTCCCAAGACTCCAGAACCCATTCTGCGGTCAGACCGGGTGATCGGGAGTGTGACCTGGCCCATTGAAGCCAAAGTAAAACAGGCTAATGGAGAGAATCCTGTCCATAAAGGTTGTCCTCAGAATCGCCTGTTTGTTCCTAGGACACTTCGTTCTCAGGTGATTCATTGGGCCCATACATCTGTCCTTTCATGTCATCCTGGAACCAAGAGGACCCTTTTTATGGTGAAACACAGATTCTGGTGGCCTGCTATGTGGAAGGATGTTGCAGAGTATGTGGCAGCTTGTCCTGTGTGTGCTAGAAACAAGACATCTCGTCAAGCTGCGGCAGGTCTTCTTCAACCTCTGCCCATTCCCCACAGACCATGGTCGCACATTGCGTTGGACTTTGTGACAGGATTTCCACCTTCGGCAGGTAATACCACAGTACTCACAGTCATTGATCGTTTTTCCAAGATGGTACATCTCATCCCCATGTCCAAATTACCTACTGCCAAAGAAACTGCACAGGCCATGTTATCCCATGTTTTTCGAATACATGGTTTCCCAAGTGATGTCGTTTCAGACCGAGGCCCACAATTCGTTTCACGTTTCTGGAAGGAGTTTTGTCGCCTGATCCAAGCCACTGTGAGCCTGACATCCGGATACCATCCCCAGTCAAACGGCCAAGCGGAGAGGATGAATCAGGAAATGGAGACATGTCTGAGATGCCTGGTGTCCCAGAAGCCTACCACCTGGAGCAAACATCTGATCTGGGTTGAGTATGCACACAATACCTTACCCACATCAGCCACCGGAATCTCTCCTTTCCAATGTGTCCATGGATACCAGCCTCCATTGTTCCCGGAGCTCGAGCAAGAAGTTACCGTACCATCAGCACATGCTCTGGTTCGCCGCTGTCGCCGGGTATGGAAGGGTGTTCGCCAGATGCTGCAGAGAAGTGCGACCTGCATGAAGAGTTTGGCCGACCGAAAACGACGTCCATCTCCTAGATACAAGGTCGGACAACGAGTGTGGTTGTCCACCAAGGACCTTCCTCTTCATGTCGCCTCCAGGAAACTGGCCCCCCGGTTCGTTGGTCCATTTCCCATTTCAAAGGTTATTAATCCTGTTGCTGTTCGCCTATGTCTCCCAAAGTCTCTCAAGGTCCACCCCACGTTCCATGTCAGCAAGCTGAAACCAGTTTTAGAAAGTAGACTGGTTCCCTCCTCCACACCACCTCCACCTCCTCGGGTCATCGACGGAGGTATCGTCTATACAGTGGAAAAGATACTGTCAGAAAGAAAGCGGGGTAGAGGGAGACAGTTCCTGGTCGACTGGGTAGGGTATGGACTAGAGGAAAGATGCTGGATCCCGGGCAGCTTCATTGTCGACAAGACTCTGATCACGGATTTTGACAGACTACGGTCTCAGGTTTCAGGGACGTCTGGAGTCGTCCGTAAAAGGGGGGGGTACTGTAAGGTTTTAGTGTTTGTCTATCTGTCTTATTGTGACATGACTCTGCTCTATCTTTCCAGGTGTCTGCACTTCCTGTCTTTGTGTGTCACCGGTCAGACTGATTGTTGTTCCCGCCCCTGATTGTGTCCACCTGTGCCTCATTACCTAATGTGTGTGTGTGTGTATATATAGTCCTTCTCTCCCTTTGTCTTGTGTTGGTTCGTCTTGTCTCTTCATGAGATCCATGCCTGTTACCAGAGACCTGTTGTATATACCTAGTCGAACCTAAGGATTCTTTGGAATGTCCTAGTAGATCCTAGAAGACTTGAAAAGCTTTGTGATCTTTATAAATAAAGAATATTACAAAGCAACGGAATCGAGCATCTGAGTTCTTAAAGAGCCCTTCGTGTCAGTTTGAGACAAGTGGTTCCTATCGAAACACCTCCCTTTGTAGCCAGACTTCACCACAGCAGAATCAAGTTTCTGTTTTCAGGTCTCAACAGCTCCAGGTCAGGTGTATCTTCGCCCCTTGAACTGCAGTCGGTGTAAACAGGAGGACTTGGTAAGGACCCTCCGTCTTGGGCGAGTGCTAGGTTTTTCCTCTTCATGTTTTGGGTGAAAAACCCATCGTCTTGACCTCACTAGCTGTGTGGACACAATAGTTTTCTGTGTGGGGGAACAACGTCACTCGTAATGTATTTCCTTCTCATAGTTACAAAAATAGTCTGTTAAATGTTCTACTATGTTTTAATGTTCTTCTACTAATCTGTGGATGTTTTATATTGAAATGCAATATGCTAGTCATGATTTTTTGAATAACATTCCACCTCTTCTCCCTGTGGTGACAGATATGGCTCTATGTGGCTGGATTTCAAAATGTCCTTCTGGGCTGGAGATGCATCACCTGGTGGTCTGGCCCTCTGAGCTTCCTCATTGTTGTGGATGATACCAGGCTGTCGGTGGCATTTGATTCATATTTGGCACCCCTCCTTCTCTGGGTTGTCCCTGGAATCCACTTCCTCCATTGGGACCTCCCCTCCGTTGATACTGTACTGGTTTGTACACAGGCGCTGGTGGCTGTGATTGGGTGGGAACATACACAGGCGTTTGCTGGTGTTGAAATTGGGGATAACACTGTTGTGTCTGGGGCTGCTGAAATTGTGTAGTAGTATATTCCAATACGTGTGGTGGGTATTGCATGTGTTGCTGAGGACAATCTTTGGCCCAATGGCCCCTCTGACTGCATATGTAACATCCATCGAACCGGACAACTTTTCCTCTGCCTCTTCCCCGGAAACTTCCTCCACCTCTTTGTTGGTTCTGAATCTGATTCTCTGGCACTACCTGAGTTTGAACTGTAGGCGGTGTCTGCATGGCATTCACTGTTATAGCTGCCATCTGCCTTGCCACTTTCTTGTTTTTGGTTGCTTCGGTATCTTTCTCAGCTATTTGTATCTTCAAAAGTCTTCGGGCTAGTGTTTTGTCTTCGTCATCATTAGTCATCAGTGTTGTCTGGTATTTGATATCGTGGTGAATGAGATTTTGTCTCCATTCTTCAGCGGGTTTAGTGTCTAATCCCACCACTTCTTCTAGGCGTGCCTGCACTGATGGGGGAAGGGCTTTAATGACAGCGTTCTTCCACAACATTTCAACAGCTGGAGAAAGATCATGTCGTTCTCCCGTGCTGTCCTCCCACACTCCTTCACATCTCTTCAAGAAGGCATGCATGTCTTCCCCCATGTTTTTTTTTAGGCTGGTGAGGGCATGTAAACTGCGTGTTGTCGGGTAGATGTGTCGAATAGCAGCCCAATAGTTCGACCTGATGTAGTTGAATGAAGTGTCATCTGGGTCGTGCGTGCATTGGGCCTTGGAATCTATTGCTTTGGCCTCTAGTCTTCCTTCTATCCGTCTGATCAGTGCCCTCATGTCTCCCAAGCACAGGTGGTCTTGGACAGTGTATTTCTCCAGTAGATGCACCCACTTCTGACCTCCTTTGGTGAGTGGAGGTAGCTTTCTCACTAAATCTTCCATGTCCCTGTGAGTCCATGGTTGGTATTGAAATCTTCCGTTTCCAGCTGCCATCAACGGCATGATGCTATGTGCAGTTCCCCTGAGTCTTCCAGCTATGGGCCCTGTCCCAGTGTTTTGTTGGTGGTTTTCGTCTCCTCTCTTGTTTACTGTGGGTGGCGTAGGAGTCAGTTGTTGCTGTGAGTGTGCCGGGTATACTGAGTGTCTGCTGGTTACAGAATGTGTACTGTTATTGTCATAGTAGTCTGTGTCAGGAGAGTAGTTAGTTTGGTGTGTTCTTTGTAGTTCGTCCCATCTTTGTTCTTCTTGTTCTCTTCTTTCTCTCCGTTGTCTATCTGCCAGTATGTCTTGGAATCTGTCCTCTTCTCTTTGCGCCAGACGTTGTTGGTATTTATCTTCTTCCCTATGCCTTTCTGTCAGAATTTCATTGTATGCTTCATCTGCTTTCCGTCTTTCTTCAGCGTATCTGCCGTCTGTAGCTTTTCTGTGTTCTTGTTGTTCTCTGAACGTTTCTTGTCTCTCTGCTGTTTGTGATTGAAGAGAGAAGGCAGGCTCGGCTGCACTTGCATGAGTTGCCATTGGTAATGGATCTGCCCCGTGTGATTGTTTGGGGGGCTGGAATGACATGGGTGTTTGTAATCTGTCTTGCGGAAGTGGGTAGTCTGTAGGCATGTTTCTCAAGTCTTGCATTTCGATGAGGCGTTTGTGTTCCTCCCGCAGCAGGTTAGATTTACTGTGTATCATCCTTACTTCATAATCCAAGTCTTTGACAGTTCTTTCTGTGGGGACTCCCTCCAAATTCAATATTCCGCCTAAAATGCCGAAAGTTGGGGCTTGTATGGAGGGGTGGGGGAAAGGTTTTTTTTCTGTTATGTAGGGAGGAGGTGCTTCAGACAAGCTTGGATAGAGCTTTGACGTTTGGATAAGTGGAGCTTCTTCTATTGTCTTTGTGGTGTCTTCCGTTGCTGTCAGTTCGGCGTCTTGAAGCTCATACGCTTGTCGATGCTTGGGTGACATATTTCAGATGGTGCAGCAGACATATAGCTGTTGCTTGTCTTTTTTCCGCTTTTTTCATTGCGTTTTTAGCAGGTCCATACCAAGGGGGTTGTCCGGCTTTTTCCCAGGCTTCTTGCTGTTGTAGGTATTCTTTATTCTCATATTCAACCACAGCTTGTCTATGGACTTTAGTTGGTCCAGGTTGACCATCTGCTGGAATCAAGCCTCTTGTTTGCCACTGTGTCAACAATTCCTGTAGTTGTTTCCAGCTCTTCTGTCTATCATTTGGATTTGTTGTGACATCTGACCTGACTTTTACCCTTTCCTTGATATCTGCAGTTGAGCCTGGCACTGCGAGTGCTCCTAACTTGGTGTCTTTTGGTGACATGTTTCTCAAATACTAGGATGAAATTACTAAATTATCAAAGATGTATTACTAATCCTCTGAATAGTACCTTTGTATTCCTTTATAAAAGTATCCTATGTCTTCAGTAGTTAACAGTACTTAACCTTAAATCTGTTTTTTTTTTTTTTAATTAATAAAGTAAATTAATAATTAAAATTATAAAATGTAAAAAATAAAAATGTATGTGCATGAGATTATGCAAATGTCATAAACTATGTTTACTTCAATAATATGGTGGTTGAATATTCTACAGTCTAGGTTGAAAGACTATTATGTAAGGTTTCTTATCTTAAAATCAGGAACCACCTGTAATTCTATCTGTGTGTGATGAAGTATGTGTTTATCTATAACACGTGAGAAATAAACTTCAGTATATAATTGTAATTCTGCAACAATTCTGTACAACCACCAGAGTGCGCTGTTGTAGTTTTCAGCTTCTGCCAGCAGAGGTAGCTGTTCTAAAACTGACTTCTATGTAACAAGAAGAAGCTTATTTTTCTAAAAAATACCTTTGAAATGGGAAGGAAAAACAATATGATTTGAACCGTAAAGCATAAACCAGCCAAAACACATTTGCAAGCACAAATATTTCAAAAATCAAATGGGAAGGAAAAACCCAATATGATTTAAACAGTAAAGCATAAACAAGCCAAAACACATTTGCAAGCACAAATATTTCAAAAATCAGATTGGAAGGCTTAAAATCCAATCTGAGAAAACACTGCTGAGGAAATATAATAATCCTTGTTCACAACCACCAAAATCCAACAACAATATGTATAGATAACCTGATTTAGCAAAAGACTAAATCCAACTGAGACAAGAAGAATGGTTTGTTCTTCACAAGATGGAGGTCAGATAAAGGACTTGGCCTCATGGGAGTGAAACCACATGGATTACAAAGAACTAAGGAGTCCGTTGAATTTGCATTTCACGAAATGGCGACTGCCCTGTGTTTTGTTTGAAATTAGGTCAAAACAAGATGGCTACTGATTATTTCGAACTCTGACCCCCAGAACAAAGAGATGTTGAAAGTACACCATGTGGTTCTCACTGATGAGATTAAATAATGGCGGGTGATCTTTAAATGGACAAAATGGAAACACTGGTGTGGTAGGGCAAAGTTTAAAAATACAACACAAAACTACACTTTATACACAAAATAATAACATTTCTATCTAGTTTACTATGAATATGGGCTTTATCCTAGAGATATCCTATTTTAACATGAGGAGCCCTTACGTCATCGGCCAATGACGTAATATTTGACTTTATAGTCTGGTGATTATCTGTTGCTGTTTAAACACGCTATATAATGGGACAAAATGGGACGCTATCCAAACACTATTAGAATATCGTCATCCAACGCACGAATGTCGCACTTCCTGTCGTAATCCACCCGCAATGTCTGGTAAAAACACACAATAGTATAATCACTCTGCCGTCCGAAACGACTTTATTGGCCGAAGCAATTTTAACAGCCGCAGCGTTTTCAAATGTATTGCCCTAAGCAATTTTATTGCCGAAGCAATTTTAACGCCCAAAGTGTTTTCAAAGTATTACCCGAAGCAATTTTAACGCCCAAAGCGTTTTCAAAGTTTTGTTAAAAGCATGCAGTGTTAGTGAATGAACAAAGAAAGGAAAAATAGACTCACCCCTGCTTGCCCTAAAATAGCGCCACGTTTTGTCTATGCTTCTTAATTTAGCTTGTTTAACATTAAATGCACAGTTATTCTCCGGATCCGCTGGCCGCCATCAAACACACAAACCTAAAGTTTCCTGCATAAGCTAGTGAAGATTTGATTTAACCGGTTCTTCTTACCACTGTGTGTGAGCTCTTGTTGTCTGACGGAGGGCCGCGGATCCGTTGAACAGCTGGCTTGGTTAGTTCTCTCCCGGGTTGACGAGGTCCTGCCGTGGTTGCCAATTGTTAGAAGTATTCGTTGTTCTCGCGCCCAGGAGAGGAGCTTAGAATGAAGAGACTAATGGAGTCTCCGAAAAGGTTCAAATTGGTTGAGTTTAATTAAATGGCACGATGATACAACAAGCAGAGGGTAAGAGGAGAGACAGAGCAGCTGTTGCCTCGCCGGGGTGAAGTGGTGAAGTCCAGTGGTGAAGAAAAATAAGTGCTGTCCAGAGCCCCCTCACCTCTCTCTATATCTCAGTGGTGACTCCTCCTCATCAATGGTGGGCGGTCACGTAGGGAGGGAACTTCCCTCCTCTTTCTCATTGTCTTAGTTTCTCTGATTAGGTCATCTCTCTGAGAGTGAATCTTAAATGTATGTGTGATCAACAGACGCGTTTAGGGGGTGAGGTTTTGCATACTGTGTCTGTGTATATCTCACTGTCTTGTAGGGTGAGATGGCTTTGCATACAGTGCCAGAGGGGGTACGAACATTGTGTTGCTGTACATTTGTCACCCAACCGATTATTCTCTCTAGACCCCAGCTGATTTCAAAACTGCTACGACAAAGCCTACTGTGCATTTAACCTAAATTACGTCATTGAATATTGATTTTAATTTCTAACACTACACACACAACCAAATTACATCTATAGCATGAGCGCATTGCTCCTAAAAAGTGTTTCTGGCACTGACACCAATCAACAGTTGTGCGTCGACTCGGCAGGGATCAAGGCACGTATATGCCTCTCCCTGCTTCCACCGTCTACACACACAACCAAATGACATACCATCAGTAAGGAAAAAGAGTAAGAACTAAAATGTATAGGTGAAGAGGCACAACGTGTCTACGTCAATGCACTCTTATTAGATTATTTTATCAACTTTAAGCTTTATCAAAAAGGAAGGTCTTAAGCATACTCTTAAAAACGGATAGGCTGTCTGCTGCCCGAACACAAACTGGAAGCTGATTCCACAAAAGTGGAGCTTGATAAGAAAAGGCTCTGGCTCCCATTGTACTTTTAGAGACTCTAGGAACAACCAACAACCGTGCATTCTTGGAACGCAATGCCCTAGTTGGACAGTAGGGTATAATGAGTTATTTAAGGTAAGATGGCGCTTGCCCATTAAGGGCTTTGTAGGCTAGAAGAAGAATATTAAATTATATCCTGTGTTCTATAGGGAGCCAGTGTAAGGCAGCCAAAACTGGAGTAATGTGGTCCCTTTTCCGAACTCTAGTTAGTACACGTGCTGCAGCATTTTTAATTAGCTGAAGCGACTTAACTGACTTTTTGGTACACCCTGATAATAAAGTGTTACAATAATCCAGCCTTGAAGTAGCAAATGCATGGACTAGTTTTTCTGCATCGTTTTGAGGCAAGATATGCCTGATTGTTGCAATGTTACGTAGATGAAAGAAGGCGGTCCTTGAGATTGATTTTATGTGTGCGTTAAAAGATAAATCCTGATCAAATATAACACCAAGATTCCTTACAGTCTCACTGGAGGCCAAATGAATGCCATCCATAGTTAATATATCTTTAGATAGTTTGTTTCGTAGATTCTTTGGGCCGAGTACAATAACTTCAGTTTTGGCCGTGTTTAACATCAAAAAGTTTAAGGTCATCCACATTTTTAAATCCTTGAGGCAGTCTTGATTTTTATTTAGATGATTGGTTTCATCAGGCTTGATGGATAAATATAGTTGAGTATCATCCGCATAACAATGGAAATGTACAGAATGATTCCTTATAATATTGCCTAACGGAAGCATATATAATGTGAACAAAATAGGTCCAAGCACTGAGCCCTGTGGCACTCCATGGCTCACTTTGGTTTGCATGGAAGATTCATCGTTGACACACACAAACTGAGAGCGTTCAGATAGATAGGACCTAAACCAGCCTAAAGCAGTTCCCTTTATGCCAACTAAGTGCTCTAGTCTTTGCAATAGGATATCATGGTCGATAGTATCAAATGCAGCACTGAGATCGAGCAAAACAAGAATAGAGACAAGTCCTTTGTCTGAGGCTATTAGAAGGTCATTTGTGACTTTAACCAGAGCTGTCTCTGTGATATGATGTGTTCTAAAGCCAGACTGAACATCTTCAAATAAATCATTGTTTTTTAAGTAATCACACAACTGTTTTGCGACTGCTTTTTCAAGAATTTTTGAGAGGAACGGAAAATTAGAAATAGGTCTATAATTGGCTAAAACCTCTGGATCGAGGTTGTGCTTTTTAAGAAGAGGTTTTATCACTGCTACTCTAAATGATTGTGGAACATAGCCTGATAATAAAGACATATTCATAATATTTAATAAAGAAGTGTTAATGAATGGAAAAACTTCCTTCAACAGCTTAGTTGGAATCGGGTCTAAGATACACGTTGATGGTTTAGAAGAAAGAATCTTTGAATTCAATTGTTCAAGGTTTATGGCTGAAAATCATTCTAATTTACTATCTAGTGTAATATTAGAACTTATGTTTCCGGGAGCTGTTGATAACACTATACTGGTCAAAGGCAAGAGGTCATTGATTTTATTTCTAAGAGTAACAATTTTATCATTAAAAAAGCACATAAAATCATTACTACTGAGTACTATGGGAATAGAAGGCTCAATAGATCTGTGGCTCTCTGTCAGCCTGGCTACAGTGCTGAAAAGAAATCTTGCATTATTCTTATTCTCATCTATTAATGAAGAGTAGTAAGCTGCTCTCGCTTTACGTAGTGCTTTCTTATATTCATTGAGAGTAATATGCCAAATTAAACGCGATTCTTCAAGTTTAGTGGAACGCCATATCCTTTCAAGTTGTCTCGACTTTTGCTTTATTTTGCGGGTTTTGGCATTATGCCATGGAGCTAGTCTACAGTATGTTGTTTTATTTATTAACAGAGTCTAGTTTTATTCGCAGGGCATCTGTAGCACTATCAACAACATGATCAATTTGGGGTGGTGTACATTAATTATAAGTTTCCTCCCTTACATGCAGACATGCTATCGAGTTGAGTATTGATGGAATCTCTTTCTTAAATGTGGCTATAGCACTAACAGATAGGTTTCTGCTGCAGGAACTTTTGACTAATGGTTTGTAGTCTAGTAACAGTACTTCAAAAGTTATCAAAAAATGGTAAAGCAGGATTATGCGGTTCGACTAATAGTTGCTCAATTTCAATACCATAAGTCAGAACAAGGTCGAGAGTGTGATTATAACAGTGGGTTGGTTTATGTACACTCTGATGGAAACCAATATAATCTAATATAGAGTTAAATGCAACAGTAAGGCTATTTTTATCGTCGTCAACATGAATATTAAAGTCACCTACGATAATTACTTTATCTGTTTTAAGGACCAAAGTTGATAAAAACTCAGAGAATTCTGATACAAATTCTGTATATGGACCTGGTGCAGGGTGCACTGTAACAAATAAGATTGGCTGCAAAGTTTTCCAGGTCGGATGCGTAAGACTAAAAACAAGGCTTTCAAAGGAGGTATAATTTAAACTTGAGTCAAAGATTTCTGCAACTCCACCTCCTCGGCCTGTGCCTCGAGCAATATGAGTATTGATATGGCTGGGTGGAGTGGCTTCATTTATGCTGACATATTCTTTATGTCTCAACCAAGTTTCAGTGAGACAGCATATATCAATATTATAATCTGATATTAAATCATTTACCAATATTGCTTTAGATGCTATATGTTTAAGAGTCCACATTTAATCTTCCTGTTTTGTTGCACTGTAGTAGTTGTTACATTTACTTTTATTAGGTTATTATGTACTGTATGACACCTCTATTAGGTTTTACTTTAAATTGTCCTTGGGCAGACACACACACCGTTAATATTGGGTATTTTATTGGAGAGAGCGCAGAGAAGCGTGTACAACTGTGACTCCTCCTCCTGGTCTCAACTCTAGTTTGTCATGGATTAAGTCCACAAAGCTCTGAAATGTTTGCCGAAATGAGATCTGCACCTTCCAGAGTAGGATGAATGCCGTCTCTCTCTACACTCGTGTTTCTTCTAAAAAAGCAATCTTGATAGGTTTTTGAAAAAATATCCTTAAATATATATGGGTTTCCTCTTCATGAATTAAAGGCTACATTGCTCAGATTACAAATATTACGAAAAATACATAACTCAAGTATTTCAATGTGTGCTGCTGTGGACATTACGTGCCACAATACACAAGCTGATTGCATGCAGCAACATGTTAATAGCGTGGTACTGAACACCATGCTCCTCAACTTCCCCAAATATTTCTATGATTCGTGTTATAACTTGTCTTTTAACGATCCAATGAAGGGAGGGGGTTGTTTTGATGTATAAAGAGGGGGATATAACTCTTGTCAAGTAGACAAGTAATGTGGTCTTAGAGGAAGGTGAGATGACTTTCATTCTTTTTAATCTTTGAATTTAGAACTTGACAATACATAATGTACATGTGTGTGATCCTATAAAAAAGCATATTTGACAGGTTTTTGAGAAAGGGTTTTTATTTTATTTAGCTAAATCAAGGACTTGTAGGTGATGTAAAATAAAGGTCTTGGTCAAAGTTTATAAGTGTGCTGTTGTGTAAAGGATCTTATTTTAAGCTCTGTTAATTCTATTTTATTCCCACAGAACAGCCTGACTCAAAACAACAAATCGCTCTCTTTGAATAACTGTACAACACCAACACAACACCATGAGCACCCAAACCACAAAGTCCTATCATGGAGGAGCCTACCTGTCCCTGATGAAAGGCTTGAAAGAGCTGGACCTCAATGGCCCATGTGTTCCCTGTGACCTGGTGCTGAATGGAGACCATGCCTTTCCTTTAGCAATCAACAGCCAAGGCCAGGTCTTGATGGCAGCCTCTCGGTACGGCAGAGGAAGGATTGTGGTCCTCGGTCATGAGGGCTACCTGACCGCTTTTCCTGCTCTGGTAGAGAACGCTGTGACCTGGCTGAGAGGAGAAGGATCTCACAACCTCACTGTGGGGGTCAACAATAAAGTGAAAGCTGTCGCTGATAACCTCATCAAATCTGGCCTCAAAGTTAAAGCTGTTGGGTCCTTTAGTGACAGTAGGGAAGTTGGTGTCTATGTGACAGATGCCTACAGCGTGGAAGCATACGCAAAAGACCTGGTGGCATTTCTGAAAGCTGGAGGAGGAGTGCTGATAGCAGGTCAGGCATGGCACTGGGCTTCAACCAAGCCAAAAGAGAACACACTGCTACAATTCCCAGGGAATAAAGTGTCTGGTGTGGCAGGGATCTACTTTACTGCGCATTGTGGGAAGGTAGAGATCCTGCCTGTCTACCCTCAGATCCCATCCTCATGGATGACTTTACGGTAAGAGTAGACTCCTCCTCCATCTCATATTTGTGACTTTTCTTTTATAATAAGGAGTTTAAAGTTCCGTCTGCTGTATTTTTCATCTCCCCCTGTGTGTGTCTCTCTCTTCTCTGTCCACTATTACAGTGTTGGTAAAGATTTTAAAGATGACCTGGAGATCTTACTCCAGGGGGTTTCAGAGTTTGACCTCACCGATGGTATAGTAGCTTCTGAGGCACTAATCCATGGCCCGTTAGCCTTCCCCATTGGTACCACTGAGGATGGGCGGGCATTCCTGGCCGGAAGCTACTATGGACGGGGGCGGGTCGTTGTGATCACACATGAATATCCTCTTAAAACAGAGGTACAGTCGGAATTAATGAAAAATATTAGAATGCTTTTAAATGAACGGAAATCTGTTTTGAAAGCTTTTGAACGCATTGTGAAAAATCTGCTCGTGATTTGAGTTTCAGTTATGAAATATACTATGTCATTAGGCCACCAAAAGTGGGATATCTTCAATATGCTAAATGATGTTAGATATTTAATGCCAAACCATTTTACATGATAAACTACTATCTCTTTTGAAATAACCCCCTGTCATTACAGAAACTACTTTCTTTTTGGAAAAATGCCATCGATTGGTTGGACCAAGGCCGGAAGGGAGTTGTTGGTGTAGAGCCTAACCTCAAACTTCTCAGCAAATCAGGGTTAAAGTACGAGGAGGCAGCGTTCAGGAAAGACCTGAGTGTATTCGTGTGCACAGTGTGGAAGGACGATCATGTGGAGGAGATCCAAGACTTTGTAGCAGAGGGAGGAGGCCTGCTGATTGGTGGGCATGTGTGGAACTGGGCACACAAAAACTTTGGGCTAAACCCATTCACAGATTTCTCAGGTAGGATAATCATCAGAATATCCATTTGATGTTACTCTGAACTTTTGCATTCATCATGCATAAATGTGTGATTACAGCCCCACATCTTTTTTCCCAGAAATGTAGTGGTTACATTGCTGCAGCCAGTGAGAAAGTCAGTCAGTCTGTTTGTGCACAACACTGATGACACCATGAGGGCGAGTTGAGAATGACAGAACAACACACATAAATAAATGAGACTTTAAAAACAAGCACAAAGATTGTCATCTTTAGTTATCAAATTGATTCACATAATAATATATATTAGAAGTGTATTTTCTGTCTATCTTTTGCCCACTTGGCTGCAGACGGTTTTGATGTTGTGTGGCCATTCTTTTGGGATGCAATTACATGATGTCGCCATTGTAGTTGTTCTCTCTCAATGGTCTGATTTGGGGGTTTTGGATTTGGTCTAATCATCTTCAGGTTTATTAGGACCCTGTTTTTGTCTTGTGTTTTTTATATTTTCATGAATGCCAGATTTGAGTCATATTTCCAATGTATCCTTTTCAGATTGGGTCCATCATTTTGGACACATAATGATATTTTCTCTTGGATACCTCAACTCTAACCCTAATGATCCTTATCAACAGGCTACTGCTTTATACTCAAAATGTAACAGACCTTGATAAACTTGAATCAAATTTAGGTTTTAAAATATGAATTGAGTTATAGTTGAATATGGACAGGATACTTTTTTAATGGGGTACCAAAGTAAATTGGATCCAATCCATCAAACCCTAATCATCAAGGATGGAGAATGGATTCAAAATTATCCTGTAGATTAAATGATATTTTCTGATCTGTGTTTCAGGAAACAAGATCCTGAACAGAATGGGCTTGAGTGTTTTGCCAGCAACAATTGGTGAAGGTTCCTACAAAGTTCCTGTGCCAACCGAAACTGAGGAGGACAACAACCACTTCCGCCATGTCCTCTCTCGCTTTGCTGGTCGTGTTACCAAGGGCGAAGAACTCCCCACGCATGAGGAGAAACAACTTGAAAAACTAGAAATGGAGTGTACCAACTTCTTGATGATGAAGGCTTATGGCAGCCACTCCTACACACATGTGCTCTCCATCCTCATTGACATATTGAAGAAGCTCGGCATGCCACAGGTGGGTAGAGAATTATTAGTTCTATTACATTTTATGAATTGAATTCTGTTTATGGAAAAGCTGCAATGTACAGTAATAACTACTGTCTACAGTATAACAAGTAATTGCAAAACAATAGTAGCATAGTACCATTGTTTAACAACCACAATAACCACCTAAATCTTTACCACTGATATCAGACCTCCACATTTGTTTCATCCAAACTGTTGAATGGGATTTTTCTGTGGTCATACAGTAGGCTTAAGCATTATAAGGCAATACCTTGATTGTTTGCTGACAATACAGTGTGCTTTTCGCATTCAAATTTAGTTTTTCAAGCCATTATTATTTTTGCCCTCACTTTGTCACAACAAGGTTGGCTATGAAGTTATCACAATGAGGGAGTGGGATCAGTTTTTTTAATTATTCAAATTCATTTATTTGAAGGTGAGTGTGAAGAATCCTGTGAAGAATCCGAAAGACCACCTACTCCTCAGTGTGGGGACAGAGGTTTATCAGGCGTCCCTGGATCCTGATGCTCTCCTGCCGTACCTCATCAAAGATATTCCTGTGTTGCCAGTTGTCAAAGACCATAGGATCAGGATTACTGTTAACACAGCAGGTCAGACCACATTGTTGTGAACAAATGTGTAAAATGATTATGAAATAATGATTCAGACCTGTAATGAACACATGAAGAAGATAAAAGGTCTCTTCTGCGTTTCATGCACACCTGTGCCTAACATTTTTGCTGCTCTGTGTTTGTGTGTCAGATGAGAATGAGTGGATCAGTACAGGTCTGTACCTGTCTCCTGGTATGAAGACAGAGATGATCCTACCAGCAAACATCGTCAACAAGAACTGGACGGTACAGTACAAAATCATATTTTTCATGTGTTTGATGCACATTTAGAACACCAATTCAGGTCCACTCTTATCAATTATGCCCCAAATCAGAGATATAATCTGTAAAATAACGACACTCTCTAAATATTTATATTGAGTAAAATGTATCAATAATATATATTTATGTTGGACAATCAACACTTGCAAAATATCAAGGCCATTTATTCATTAGTATCAGGTTAACACGATATTTTGCGGCCTTGATAAGGAGAAGTTGCCGCTGTAGTTTGTTGAGAATACAAGGTTAATGTTTATGTTATAAAACCAATGAAAACAGATATTTCTCTTCTCTCTCTCTCACATACTTTCCTGCCATGCTGCCATTGATTCATGCTAAAATGGCCGATTATGTGTCCAATGTATGCTTCAACTGAAAAATCAAACTACAGCACAGCAGACTTTATAAACAGGTTTTCAAAGCAGCAACATTTTCTATATCTCCCTCAGATCCAGATAGGTTGCCAAACAGACTATCTGAAACATGATGAGTTGAAGAGAGCGAGGTCTGTTCGTGAGCGATTTCCTGTCACAGCAGAGAAGATGCAGGTGTGGAACCTGTGGGGGGGACTCATCTACCTGGTGGCTCCACGCAACACAAAGGTGGAGGGGGCAGAGGTCATGGTGCAGATGGCTGTGCGTGCTCCTTACTACAAGTCTGGTGAGTGTGTGTATCTGCTTATCAGGCATACCTTAATATTACTTTAGGCCGCAGGGCTATAATGTTTTACAGTGAAATGTTACTACAATAATTCAAATCCCTGCTTTGATTTCACCTCAACACCCGTCTTGTGTTTATTTCAGGTGTGACAACAGCAGCTGATTGGTTGTTGCTGCGCACAGCTCCAGCACCCTGGGCAGAGTTTGAGTTTGACAACATCATCCTTACCGTACCATCGGATGTTGTTAGAAAGTTGGAGCGCCCTGATGAGGTGGCAGCGCTGTGGAACGACATCATGAAGGGCATTGCAGATCTGGCTGTCATACCACACAAATTCTCCCGCAAAGAACGTATGGTAGCAGATGAGCAGATTTCTGCCGGTAAGTGTGTTTTGCTTTCACATTCTCAGATATTCAAAAAACTGTTAACAAGTTTGGAAAGATTTTCTGTCTTAGTCCCAGATTACACTTGCTTTGTTATTCCAAGATCTGCATTGGTTGATAGAGATCATTTGTTTGCAGCTCAAAGGCTTAATGTATGTTTTAACTCATTCTCAAATGTTGAGCTCATGAAATAGATATATAAAATGAAACTATAAAGAAGCATTCCTGTAAAATGTGTGGTAATTATTCCTCTTGATTCAGGTTGGATGCATGCAGGCTATCCAATCATGATACACACAGATTCAGCTGCTGAGCTTTTCAGACCAGATGCTGCCAGGTCTGAAGGCCTGTGGGGAGAAGTTCATGAACTGGGACACAACCAACAGAGAAGCTGCTGGGAGTTCAGACCACACACCACAGAGTGCACATGCAACCTGTGGTCAGTGTATGTGCATGAAGAGGTGCTGGGGCTCAAAAGAGAAAAGGTATGAAGAAGGATATCATATATCAGTATTTTCAAACGTATGACCAAAGGCCCAATAAAGCTACATCGCTAAGAGTATTATTGTATTGAGAGACATTTTCATATTAGAGTTAGGGCTGCACAATATTGGAAAAAACTGACATTGCGATGTCCCCCCCTGCGATATATATTGCGATATGAAAACATACAGGAATTGAAGAAAATACAGTTTTTCTCCCCGCAAACCATCCTTTCTTGAACTTTAATGCTATACAATTGGTATTTTTTTAACTATATTTAACCGGATGAAGGATTTTAGTCACGGACGTCTGGATCTTAAAGTGGACCTATCATGCTATATTTGACAAATATATTGTAGGGCCATACCTATATAAAACATGTCTGTGAAGTTTTTTTTTCAAAATACCAAACAGATCATGCATTTTAGCCATGCCTCATTTCGCTCTATTTGCTCTTTTCCGGCCCTGTTTTTGCAAGGGCTGATTCTGTGACGTAGCTTTAATGCAAATGAGCTGCAGCTGACCACGCCCCCCTGCAGGAGAGGGGAGCGGGCTCTGATCAGCTGCTGGGCTCTCAGAAGAGGGGGAGGAAAAGAGAGGATATAAAACAGCGTCCTCCGTGTTTTATTCTTATATATGATTATATAGAGTCGTTATTCATTTGTTTTAAAGCTCAATAAATAACAAAGAAGACCTTTGACACTTTTGGCACTTTTCTGATTTTGTACGGAAGATTTAAACTTTAACGGACATGTTGACCGTCGAAAAAAAATCTAACTGAAACTCTGCCGCACGGTCCCCTCGTTCCTTGGAAGAAGCAGAGAGGTGGGTGTTTGTCATCTGCTGGTGGACTACCGGAGAGAATTACAGCGAGGGAGGGATTGCATTGAATTACAGAAGCAGGAGCAAACGCTTGCCTCGGGGAGGGAGAAAAAGAGCCAGAGCGTCCACAGCGGAGAATAAACAGAAGGGCAACCATGGCAACCATGCGCGGGAAGTCTTCTTCGCTGCTTTTGTGGCAGACTACAGCGCCACTTACAGGCCTGGCATATGTACTACAGCGTCTCCAGCGGTTTCGCGCGGCAATGGCTGTGGCCGTGCTCAACCCCCCATTCCCCTGATAGGTGGAGAGTTGCCCATATAGGCGGAGCACCCCTTTTCTGTCGTCAGAACAATTCAAATCAGCTCCGTTGCAGCCCCGTTTTTAGAGATTTGGGCATGGAGGAAAAGAGAGAGGGTTGTGTTTTCTGACACTTGGTGAGTTCCCTGACACACCGGGGACACATATTCATGTATAAAAGACGTACAAAAGTGCATTTTGTAACAACAACAAGCTGAGCTAGCTCGGTTAGCAGCGCCGAACTGCCTTGAGAAACTCATGAAACTACTTTATTCAGTGTTTTTACCTTTAATCACCGGGTCCATTTGCTTTGGAGATTTGATTGTGATTGGTGGTTTGCTGTGCATGCAGAGCCTGCATGTCACTCACTCAAGTACTCCTGACATGAGAGCCGCGCAAGTTTTCCTTTTGTAGCAAGCAGCAAAATAATTGTAACATGACGTGTTTGAGTTAATTTGCCTACTTAATATTGCAAATTTTTTTTTTTTTAAATCGCACGTCCTGCGATGTGAATATCGCGCATGCGCATATCGCGATTATCATCACGACACGATATATCGTGCAGCCCTAATTAGAGTTCAATCTCTCTTGTTATTTCCTACTTGTAATAAAATGACTTGACTGTGTTCAATACAGGCTCATCCATCGATGATCTTGACAAATCGGAAGAATACTGTAGATAAGTATGTTAAGGGAGGCAAGAATCTCAGCGACTGGAATGTGTGGACGGCCCTGGAGACATACCTGCAGGTGAAAGAGAGTTAATGTGTTTTACATTATGTGGAGAAAATACGTATGCCTGGGTATCACAGTTGACATTTAAACAGAAATGGAAACCTACACAGGCTAAAAAATAAGGAAAAAGTAAGGCTGAAAGTTAATTGCCCTGCTAATATCCCTCGACTGTTGTAGAACGTATGATTATGGAGGTAACATAACGGTTTGGCCAATGGTCCAGCACTTTAAAGGTGGAAAGACTTTGGACTGGTTTTGGGGACATGGAGAATAAATAACTCCATGTTAGGAATAATGTGGTTCATAAGTGTAAATCAGACTCTTAACAAAGATGGGGTAAGGCTCACGCCAAAAATCTCACTAACACCCCGGTCCAAGAGGTCAACTCACATCTTATGAAGAATTAAATCTCCTTAGCATTGGACAAGTAAACATTTTGAAAAGTTATAACTAATCCCCCCAGGAGCTCAATGTCTTTAACAAGTTGCATTGCTATCTATCCAATAAATGTTGAGATATTTCACTCTAGACTAGGTGATGGACTTATGGACCGTGCAACAATATATTTGTACTACTCTATTGTTGTGTGGCTAGAATTGCCCCTTAAGACTTTTCTAGTTTACTGCAGTTAATTTGTTAAATCTTACGAAATGATGTCTCTCCATGTAGATCCAAGGAACATTTGGCTGGGATGCCTTTAAAAGGGTATTTGCTGCCTACCACAAGATAAGCAACTACCCCAGTGACAACAGTGGAAAGATGAACCTGTATGCTGAGACCTTCTCCCAGACTGTGGGGATGAACCTGTCTGCGTTCTTTAAGTCCTGGGGCTGGCCCATCGACAGAGCCACTGAGGAGAAACTCACCCCCCTGCCTCCCTGGATCGACCACCCCATGCTCAAATATGACTAAACTTCTGACTACAGCTTAATACATTTCAGAGAGATCAGTGTCAGCTTATCAATATGTCAAAGTAGAAACATAATTTGCCTTTTAACAAACTAAAAAAGTTTAGATTGCACTTCTATCTAATCACAATTCCCCTATAAGTCAATGTGCAGCTGAAGCTGTATAAAACTTGTGGTTGGGCTTTAAGTTACACTAAGATGTCACAAAGAGTCCGATGATCTTTAACTTAGGGTTCATTTCTAAGAGCAACTCTTTTGAAAAACGCACCATAATGTGTTCCTCTGTAAATATACAAATGATGATCATAGTAGCCTAAGATCTTTTTCAGCAGAAAAAACCATTGCATCAGCTTTGCAACACTGTTATATAAGCCATCAAAGTAAAAAAGTGTGTTATCTAGGTTCTCCTTTGACATACAACTCTACACCTTTTAGTGCTGAGGTGGAGCTGTAGCAGTTTACTATAGTTGGTAATGTTGTCATTAGCTTCAGAGTAAAATAATAAAATATGTAATTGTGGTTCTTTTTTAGGGTTAATCTACAGTAGGGTTTTCTTTCAGGGTCATATAAGTCTAATACTTTTACAGATATTAAGGTGTCAGGTGTTTTGTTGATCAGTAATCAGTTGATCAGTATGTCTTCTTGTTACTTTTCTGATAGATCGTTTGCTTTTAGGATGTTAAAGATAGTACAATATACCTATGTATTATTCATGTGATTGATTATTGGATGAGGTTTCACTATAACCCTGAAGGGATGTCATATTTCTTGACAAGGAAATTAAGATAATTTAATCATTCATACAAAAAAGTATAGTTTATGACGTCAGAAACTCATTGTATTTTCAAAATGTGCACAATTGATATTTAGTGTGAAACGTATTTGTTTTCTCACTGTTTTATTTTGTGGTGATATAAATGTAATGCAAAAATAAAGGGCAATGGCACCTGCTTTTTTTTTTATCGTCCCTTTATTATCTTTTATGCTTTGCAGTTGTTGTCAAACAGCTCCCCTACTGGCTGATTGGAGAACAGCTGGAGGAAATCTCCCAGTTGTTCTAGAGAGAGCTTCTCCACCCAGTTTTCCTCCGTGTTCCTCGCTGTGGCAGCACCACTCTGAATGGGTCTGCCATTGTTGTCCACACAGCAGTAGGCATTCCACAGGTAGTCTGGGATGTTGACCCGCTTCACATTGTTTTTCACAATCCAGTTGTCCACAGAAGGAACTGCACCAACAAGCACAAAGGCCTTAGAGCACTTGTCCCGGAAAAGGTCTGTGAGCTGGGTCTCGTGGATCCTCCAGGCGTTCTGGTTCATTTTGGGGTTCTGAGGAACCACATTGGTCAGGGTGAAAGTGGCATTGCGGCCAGGGACTGTAAGAGAGAGAGGAATGGATAGTTACAGTAAATTATGCAAGATATAAAGTTAGTTTGTGGTTCTGGAGAAATAAAGCTGTGTATATGTGGTTAGAGGGAGAAGGAAAGATACAGAGATGTGTCCAACAGCAGCTGGATAATTGTTAGTCTACATCTACAAGTTCAAAATGCACCCATTATTCCTCAAAATTGTTAGGGTATTAGCTGGAGGCAGGTTTTGTGGGGAAGGTCCAAATCCAAGGCAACAGCAGCTGAATAAGATTAAGGCAACCATACAAGTGCCTTTCCTCAACATTAACCAGGGATTCGCTAACTAATAAGGCCCTGACCTACAAAAAACACTCAAAATGACATACCCAAAATGGATCGGCAATAGTTCCTCAACAATAAGTCTTATTTATAAGCATTTTTCTGGTGACATTGGAATAATAAGAACCTACGGAAAATGAAAGTTAACTGCACCTTTACATTTGATGAAAATACACTAAATACACTAATTTTAAATAACAATTGATAACGATACACGTTACCAGGTGGTCTGCTCATGTTGAATGTTTACTCTGTAGTGATCACTGATTCATACACTGGGGTTACATAATTCAATCCAGGAACTACAGGTTGGGGGTATTGTTTCGCACGGACACATATCTTGACGGTACCTCCGGGGTACCTACTGTGTGTGTGTCTCTTGCACTTTCTCTTCTCTTCTGCGGCTTCGACCCGACAGCATGTCAGTTTCTGTTCCCCAATAAAGTGAGATTTGCACCTCCGATGCACCGCCTCCGTCTCCCTTCTCTCGGCACTACATTGGTGACCCTGACATAAGTCTCGCGAAGGATCCGGGACTGAATCGAACACGGCAAAAAGCGCAGCTTTTCTCGGAATGCCGGAGATTCTTGGAGACGTCCGTTGCTGCCTCGTGCGCACGGACTGAGGCTCGGTGCGGCCCAGCGGGTTGGCGGAGGACGTCGCTCGCCATTCCCGTTTCGTCTCGGCGCTGGAGGGCAGCAAGCCTTCCTGCTACGAGGAGACGATGCGCGACCTGCTAGGTATGGAGGGACCCGACTTCTGCCTCGTGGAGCTGGTTCTTCGGGACATGCGGCTGCGTGTCCGGGCTGCGCTAGCTCACTCGGCTAGTGTTGAGCCCCGCGCTTTGGCCGAAGATGCTGGCCGGTTCCTCCTGGCCGCCCCGCGATTTACCCCTGAGGTGCTTGCCACTGCACGCTGCAGCACCTTCCCGGGTGGGGGCTCGCCGCCTAGCAGAGGCTCCGGGGCCGACGACGACGACAGCGACTACCGGCCGTCGAGAGTGGCTAGCCTCGACTGCTAACGACAGCTAGCCACGACAGCTAACGGCTAGCTGCTACCAACGGCTAGCGACGACTGCTAGCAACGGCTGACGATGACTAGCAGCTACCAGCGGCTATCGACATCCGACTGTTTTTTTTTTGTTTTTGTTTTTTGTGGTGCCTGAGAGGAGGTTCGATCAAGTCTGGTCGGCCTCGCGTGGATCCTCTCGCTATTTCGCCCACCTGTTTTTGTTCGTGGACGGGACGACCATTTTTGAGCTTTTTCTGGTGCCTGAGAGGAGGTTCGACCATGTCTGGTCGGCCTCGTGTGGACCCTCTCGCTGTTTCACCACCTCGACGGCGGTTTCGGACGTCACACACTCCTGCTTCGGCCCGTGGGTGACGCGCTTCTGGACCCCGTCTCGCCTCTTCCCTCGCCTCGGCGGTTTCGAACGTCACCCGTGCCTTCATCGGCCCGCGGGTGGCGCGCTTCGGGACCCTGCCTGGCCTCTCCTCTGACCGCGGCTCACGGTTCGCCTCGACGGCGCCCCGTCTGGCCTCTCCCCTGTCCACGTCTCCCTCCTCCCGGGGACACGGCTCCTTCCTACCCTCTTCTGCGGCCCCCTGACGACGGCTCGACCCCCGCCCTCCGGTGGGGATGCCCTCGCCCTCGTTGGGGCCCCTACCCTCTCCTGCGGCCCCGTTCCATGGCCCGCCCTCCTCGGCCCCTGTGGTGCTTCCTCCCGGACGCGAGGATTGTGTCCATGGTTGAATTCTGGGGGGGCTTGTGTAGTGATCACTGATTCATACACTGGGGTTACATAATTCAATCCAGGAACTACAGGTTGGGGGTATTGTTTCGCACGGACACATATCTTGACGGTACCTCCGGGGTACCTACTGTGTCTTGCACTTTCTCTTCTCTTCTGCGGCTTCGACCCGACAGCATGTCAGTTTCTGCTCCCCAATAAAGTGAGATTTGCACCTCCGATGCACCGCCTCCGTCTCCCTTCTCTCGGCACTACAACTCAAAGTTTACTTTCAACGATTTATTTTATAAATAATATTGTTACAAATACCCAAATCTTCCAAAAATGTTGAACATTATATGACTGAAGAGCTATAATATATGAAAATACATGAAGAATGCAACATATCTACTTATCTAATTCCAGTTTGGCAACTGCCATTCAGTCCTTGATTATTTGTGAAAGCCAGAACAAAAACCTACTTCCGCTAGTTAGCCAGGGGGCGGGCTCCGTTTATAAACAAAACTGTGTACGTTTTTATCTCAATAAAGTTTAAAGAAACGACAACATAACTTCCTTCTCCTGGCTTACATTGCAAACTATTTGCGATTTCGAAAGCCAAAAAGGCATCCCAAAATTAGTGCCGAAATTGGCAAGGATACATTTTACATTCTTTTGGCCGACTATTGTCATATCTAGAGAAATGCGCCTGGCACTGCTGAGCCGAGGCTGCTGCAGAGCGGAAATGATCAGACCCTCCAGAAGCTCAGTGTGAAAACACTTTTGCTACCTTTGCTTAAATTGTGCAAAAACGGAATTATTGTATGCAATGTCAGAGTGGTGCAGTTTTTGTTGGATGCCCTCGCTGACGCTGAGCTTGTGTCGGATTTAGGCTTACTATGCATGGACATTGTATTCCCAAGTGGACTCAGGTCAGGTGTGCTCAAGAACTCGGGACCCCAAACTGGGAAATACAACCAACACCAACAGGGCCGGGAGGCCAAATGGCCGATTAGTGAGTATTCGTGTTGGCTAACGCAATTGTAAGCGGTTTTGTTGCGTTTAATCTATAAAAAAGTGCCGAGTAATTCAAGTTGGTCTTTTATTGTGAAAGGTAAACACGGAAAGAGTGAAGTGGTGTAGCTTTGCTATCTTTAGATCTCAGTAAAACACTAGGCTATTAACTATTGTGTGCACTCTAACTACCCATCTCCAACTAAATGAGCACATTAGAGTTATCAACCAAAGACGGAGAAATGTTCCCATTAGGATATTCTTTGAAAAAGCATTTTTTTTAATATAATGTAATAAACAAAACAACTTAAATGGCATGTATGAATGTGTCTAAGTGTCTCAAGGCTACTTGAGTAGATGTGTTGTAATAACCTTAGTAAGTAAGGTAGTTGGTTAAATACTAGCATACATGTAATACATTGTGATTTGGCCTAATCTGATATGGTACATCCCCCTTTTGGATTAAACTGAAATCAAAGTTCATGCTCCCTTACCGGGATGGTGTCCGTTGGGGTTGAGGTGACCTCGGTCAAACCCAGAATGTGTGTAGTCCTCATTCAGAGCCTGTCTTTCTCCTTGGTAGACCCCAGGGTGGTCTTTCCCTAGCCAGTAGCCATCCTTCATTTCTGCTTGCCAGGACATGTTTACTAACTGTAAAACAAAAACTCTTATCATTTTGAGGATACAGATGATGTCACTAGGCCTCATATAGTATCATAATATTGCAGGATATCGATGCATTATGCACCTGGTGGATTACTTACAAACCACATTCTCCATACTTGATCATTATGTCTTACATTTTTATTTATTTGTTCATCAATTTAGTACAGTGGATTTGCATATACTACACAAACACAAATGTGCCACCAACCTGAGGCTCCACAAACCACCTTTTCTCCCTGCCACCTCCATTGCTGGGCTGGAAATGATAGGCTGAGTAGACGGCAATACGGTTGTTGGTGTCATACAGGGTGGCAAAGTGGTACCTGGTGGTGCAAAAGATTAAGAATAACGGATTGAGAGATCAGGAATGTTGCAAGGGAAAAGTGTAAGAAACATTGAGTGCTCAAAGAATTTCTAAATTCTACTTTCTGCCCTTCCCTACCTGTTGTTGAAGCGCTGACAGAGACGGGCAGCACCAGGTGTAGAAGCCCCCCAGTCTGGCACCTTGTCCTTATAGAAGTACGTCACGCATTCTGGCACATCCTGGGACAAAATCACTTACTGAGCCACTTACCAACACACAGATAAAATGTTCCTTAACAATTTTGACTGAACTATAAGGTCACAAACCTCAAAACGTTCAACAAGATCGGCATTAACAGAAAAGAGGAGCCAGAGAAGAGCGCACAAAGGGGCAAAAGTTTGCATCCTGGAAATAACCTCTAGTATTTGGGAGTCTTGATTAGCCTATAGAGTTGAATAAAACAGAAGATAAGCATGTGAATTAGGGCTGGTTGATATACAGTAGACGTATATCAAATATCACAATATCTTTCACTAAAATCGAGAAATATACAG